GAATAATTGCATTTGTTGGAAACTCTGCCCATCACAGGCAAGCGGAGCGTTACAGAGGTTGCTGAGCATGAAGCTCTGCAAAGCCACACCACGCAACTTTGGAAAGTTCTCTCCCTACAGTTTTAGCTTCCCTGAAGAAATCTCCCCAACCATCTTACAAATCGTGAAGGCATCACCCCCCTCCATCAATACTGGGGTGTCTCTGGGGATCTGCTGGCAGCCCTGGGGTGCTGGCGTTTCGCACCGACACGAGGATCTCGCAGAGCTCACCCAGTTTCTCGCCAGCCACTCGTGTGCCCGGGGGCCGCGGGGCCGGGCTGTGGGCCGGGGTGGTGCCCAGCCGTCCGCGGCCAGGGAATGAGGCCGTGGCGGGCCAGAAGAGCTCGGCGCTTTTGTCTGTCTGAGTGCTGCTGTCTTTGCTGCCCGTTTTTGCGTGAGAGGCCGCTGGCATCGGGACAGGCATGCAGGACAAGGAGGGCAGCGGAGGGGGCAGCGAGGGGCCTGACGGGTGGTCGTGGTGCTCCTTCCCTAAGAGCAGTCCTGAAAACACATGGAAGTCAGTCACATCCCTGCTTGAACGTTAAGTGCTGTCCCCTTGTTCCACCCCAGAGCTACAAGACGCTGGTCAGGATGTGTCTCCAGCCCTTTAGCCCAGCTTAGCTTTTCCCCTTGACGCTGCCTGTTGCTGTCCTCCTGACATCCACGTAGTACTTTCCTACAAAAACAGCCTTCTGAGAGCAGCTGCACCTTCCTGCATCCCAGTGGTACCTCCCTTGGCACAGACTTGCATGTCTCTGCAGCCCTCGTCCCACGCGGCCCCACACCACAGTCCTGCACTCATTTTCCCACTTAGCTGCCTTGTCGCATCATGCACTCCTATCCAAAGGGATGCTCATCCTCTTGTTTAACTTTAACCAGGATTTTTTCCTAGGCCAGATTTGTTGTTTACTCCCACAAAGTTGCAAACATCATCTGCATGTAGCTGGGAGGATTTCCCCCGACTGTGGCTTTCTATAATCAGTACAGAACAATTAAGATCATTAAAAATATAATTAAGATACAATGCAAGGTTAAAAAATGACAAATTTTTTACCTCAGCCCAAGGACAAATATTCTTCCCGTGGAAAGTGCTTGGAAATAAGCCACTGGGGCAACGTGTGCCATGGCTGGGGAACTTTTGCTAAGCTCAAGCAGAAGGATTAGGACAAGTGATGGATGAGCCAAAGCTTAACCAAAAACTAAGCTCACCTATGCTTCCCTTCCAGATCTTCTCCTCCTTCTTCTCCTCAGCTATCTGGTTGCTGGTGAGTGAGGTCTGGCGCGAATGCGCGCCTGCAGCAGCAGCAATGGAGGGGACGGACCGAGCCGGTCGCAGGCTGGTGCTGTCGGCTTTCCCAGGGTCCTTCCGTGACCGTTGCTGAAGGACCTTGATCATGGCATCCTTCTCAATTATTTTTGCATGGAGATTCTTTATTCTGCCAAAATATGAACGCTCTGCTTACAGGAATGGAAGAAGCATTTATGCAGGCATCTCTCCCCACCCTGGGGCAGCAGGATGAGTTCCCGCATACGTGTCCTGCTGCTCTGTCCCCTCCGGTTTTGAGTGACTCAGACAAGGCAGCTCCCACCAGTTCCTCTGAGGATAACCATGCACCTCAAAACAGAGAGTGTTTCTGGTTCTTAGCCAAAACTGGGAACTCTTTTCTGCAAGGTTAACTGAACCCATCTATTGCTGTAGCTTTACCAACCCAGCAGGAGCAATGAGGGCAGTGTCCTGACCAAGCTGTGGATCACTACCTTCACCAAAATACCAACACATGGGCAATTTCCACCTCTGTAATACATCGGGGCCAAATCTGGAAACCCTCCCTTCATTGGCTGAGTTAACTCCACGATTCGGGTCTATCATCAGCTGGAGTAGAGACCTAACGAAGTGAGCAGAAAGATTCCTTTTGGCTTGGGAAAAGGGCTGGGCTGGGCTCTTGCTTCCCCCTCACTGCTGCAGAAACAATCAGCACGTGGTGCGCAGAGACTGAGCAAAGCTCGCTACTTCTCTCGTACAGACTCCGAAGACTCTCAGATCACAAAAAAAATAGGATTATCTGAGATTTTTCTCCAGAAATGATTAACAGCAAATCATACCAAAAGACTAAAAAACTACATTTTTTTAAAAAATAAATTGTACATGTACAATATGACAGCCAGATGACTATAGCTTGACTGTTATGTACAATATATAGTCCAAGGCAGCTGCCTTTTGTGAAGCAGTGAAAGCTAAAATGCCACGTCTGGAAAACCTATAGGTACAAGGGAGATAGCTAGTAACTTCATGTTGGCGTTAGTTTTTTATAATCAGATGTCTAATTTGCAATGAAAACACAAGATACTGATCTATCTTTAATGAAGCCAATGGCAAAACCCCATTACTGGAAGCAGGATTAGCTTGCACCTGTAAGCGGAAAACAAAAAACAAACCCAGTAAAAACAATCATTGATATTTTCCAGAGGCAATAAATACAGCTTTTTATAAAAGTGTCTGCAGACTGGTGTTTTTGTGGGGAAGCCAACATTGAGGAACAGATTTTAAATAGTTTTTCAGTAAAAACTTAGAGGAATACACAAAGTTTCTCAAGGGATTTTTACTCATCAAAAGGCCACTTTTCACCAGGAAAAAGGTTTGGATTAAAAATACTGCCCAAGTCTAACGCTCATTGAACTACATGGCCACATGTCCACTTGTGCGCTGAAAATGGAGAAGTATCTGCGACAATAAACATTACTCTCGTTGACTGCCTGTGCCCCAAAAAGTTTATTTTATATCTTCTGCTACTTGGAAATGCATCTTTTTTAGTGGTGCTCGTGGTACTAAATTTCGCAGGTTTGTTCCTAAATGCCAATGTGACTGTCTCACAGCTTGGATGTGGGGAACTTAGTGTATCGAGAAAGAGGAATAACCAGGCAAGGAGCAAAGAGCGAGGCAAAGGAAAGCCCTGGCGTTGCTGATCATGTAGGAGTGGGACTACAACTTCAGCTCTTATGACCAGACGCTCTTGTTTCCAGAGGGGGATTTTCACCAAGATTAAACAAGCATTCAGCTTCCTCGTATGCCAACCTACTTTTAAGAGTGCAACAGCCTCTGTTTTGCAAGAAGGTAATTTTTGGCACAGGGAAGGTGTAATGGGAAGGTAGGGAGGAAGCTACCTAACAACAGCGACTCTTTAATCCCTGTTTTAATGCCGAAGAGCACAACTAAGTCAAAGCGAAGCTAAGCCCATCTTTTCCAGGCATGCATAAAGGAAGAGAAGGGCATCCTGGTTTATCTAAACTCAGCCTAAATCCCATGACAAGCAGGTAAGGCATGAAGGCCCCTTACGTGTACTCCATGTCCTGGCAGCGCCGGTTGGCTTGCACAATCTCCTCTTCCTCCTGCCAGCCCCGCACCTCCAGAGCGCTCTCGCCGTAGCTGCCGTTGCGTGAGTGGCTTGAGGCCGAGGTGTCCCTGGCAAAGCGGTTCAACATGGTGAGTCGGGCTCCTGAGACAGCCAGGGTGGCTTCTGCAAGTGAGGTTGGCACTTGCAAAGAAGACCCCAAAGCCACATCCAAAGAGCAAGCTAGCAACGGTTGCCTGTCAAGTGGATGGCTATCCGGCATTGGGTCATCTTGCTGCGGGCTACTCTTGGCTTGGGTTTAGTCATTAATGCCATGAATTAACTTGGTGGATGGAACAGAGAGCACGCTGAAATTGTGGGCAACCCCCATGGGGCTACCAACCACCCTGAGGGACAGGGTCAGATATCAGAGGGACTCACTCACCAGGGAAACAGTCCCAAGTCAACAAGACCATATTGCAAACAAGAAACAAAATTGTACACTTTGGAAGGTGAAAAATAGCACGGGAGTTGCTGCCTAGACTAGAGTACAAAAGAAAAGGATCATCCTGAGTCACGCATTTAACCACATTTCAAAGGGAAATCTCATTTTAGGATGCTTTCAGGGAATGTGGCTTCTAAGAAACTGGGCGAGAAGTTAATTATCCCATTCTCCTCATCGCTGGAAAGCCTCGCTGCAGTGTCTTGTGTGCTTCTGGGCACCATGCTTTGACACAGACAAACTGGAGACAGTCCAGACAAATGCAACAGGAATGGGAAAGAGAAAAAATACACGAGGATATGTGAGGAATGGCTGAAAGAAGGTTAGTTCAGGCCAGGGAAGATACAAAAGGAGCTATCTGTCTTCCAATATTTACAAGGCTGTTACAAAGTTGACAGTGATCTGTTGTTCCTCATGTACATCTGGGAAGGACAAGAACCAGTTGAGGTAATTTGCAGTAAAGAGGTTTAGCTTAGCTATCAGGAGAACCTTTTTAATTTGAAGCTTAATGAAGTGGTGAAACAGGGGACTTAGGCCACCAAATTTCCCTAATTATAAGTTTTCAAAACTAGGTTAAACAACCACGTTTTTGACTATGGGATGAATGCAGCCATACACCAACAGTCCCTCCTCGCTCCATTGGTGCCGTCAGAGGAGCTGCCTTGGCTCTGCTGTGTGATTTGGCAGACTGAGACTTTGCCATTGAGGCCGCTGCTTGAGTCTGGTGCCTGGATTCGATAAACTTTTGGACCTGGTCAGAAGGGTAAATCCTGTCTTAACTGACTATTGTATCTCACTGGCATGACACCACGGAGAGGTGCATTAACCCTAGAGACAGGACTCAGCAGGGAAAGGCAAGCAAAATCCAGCCTTAAGAAAACATCCGTTCCTTATTACTCCCCCATGCAATCCACGATGAAGAGAGCTGCCCACCCGCAGCAAGGCCATCTTACCTCTCCGTTGCAGCTGTGGCTGCGGCATTCAAGGCAAAGTGCCTGATCGTACTCTCCTCCAGGTATTTCTGCTCCCACTTGGTCATGTCAGCTTCCAGGGCCAGGATCCTCTCCTCCTTCTCCCGCACCAGCTCCATCAGGGCCGGGGCATTGTGCTCCGGAAGGCTGCTCACCTGGTAGCTGCCCTGCCTCTGCCAGTGGGAACAACAACAGGTCCTCACCCTCTGCCAAGTACAAGAGTCGCTGACCCTTTTTTCCCCACTTCTCTAGAGCACACAAAGACATTCCGATATCTTTCGACGTGAGCAGGTGGAAACCCCAGGTTAAACCCCTTAGGTTACAGTAGGACAGGCAGGTTGACCATGTGGGCAACCCCAGCACATGCTTCTCTGGACCATGCCGACAGAAGAAGAGATAAGGCTGCTCCTTGCCTGTGCAGGGATTTCATGGGATACCCCAAGCCAAAGGAAAACGTAGGAAAAAAAGCTGGTAGGAAAAGGAAGCAATGAAGCTTTAGAAGATATTCTTTTTGCTGGGTCTTCATCCCACAGCTGGGCAGTGCTCGGTACGGACAGGCAGTTATTACCAGGGGGTTTATATATGTTTATATATAAAAGCAGAAAAAAAAAGCAACATGTAGCCTAGCTACATGTAACCTATTTAAACAGCAGCTAGGAAAATACCCTTGACATGAATTCATGCCTGCCTCTTCTGGCACATTAGTTCTCATGTGCCCTCAGGAGATGCTTTCCGTGGTGTAGCAGGTAACCTTCTGGCCGCAGGGGCAGAAGACCCCCAGGCGCGGCGGGGTGACTCCCATGGGATGCTGACAAGCAGCAATGGGTGTGTAACCCTTTGCATCTATGCTGCGAGGAAAGTGCTCACCCAGGCAGGATTTATCCCACCCAGTTACAGGCACTTAATTAAAGCACCCAAGCACACAGGTAGCTGCCCAGAGCTCCTTTCAGTGGTAGTGGAGAACGGAGGAGGACAGAGATCCAGCCCTCAGCTTAGCAGAGGTTGGGTCGGACAAGCCAAGCCCACACTACAGGCAGAGGCACGAACCTCTGGGAGGAGTCCGTAGAAATAAATGGTTTTTTCAATTAAAAATGCAAGAGATTTGTCACACTCCACAGTGCATGGTATTGAGTTAAAGGGGAAACCTTGTCTCGGGAGCTCTGGCTTCTTATCCATGCTGCACCATGAACTTCCACCGGCAAAGCAGTTCCCTGGCACAGCTCTGGCACACCAGAGTGAGGGCTGCAGCAGCCGTTTCCAGTTTCCAAGCCACATTTCCTCCTTCTAGACACTCATCTCCTGCTTAGGGGAAACTAGTGATACCAGGGGAGGGCTGCAGCCTTTGCAGCCTGTGCGGCGACAACATGTTTGGAAGCTGCTTTCTGGAAGTGCATGATGGAGCAGCCCTTAGGAGCAACAGCTACCACCCTGCTCCTGCAAAAATCAGCGCTTACACTTCAAATATTGTCAAATCCCTGGCAGGAAGGTAATATTTTGGAAGCATGGTCCTGGTCTGTAAATGGCACCTTGGGACACTGCAGGTGCCTTTCGTCTTCATTCCCAGTCGGAACCTCTGCCAGCCCTGCACGCCCAGCCTGCAACGCTCAGGCAAAGGGATTTTTTCTCGTCCTAGCTCATGCATCAGCGATAATGAAAATTTGCCACTTGGACATTGTTACTGACAAGCCAGGAACATAAAAGATTCTGGCTCACTGTCTCCTTCTGCTGACTCCATTAAAAAGGAGAAAAAAGCTTTTTTTTTTTTTTTCTGCAATAAGAAAATACTTCAGCAGATACAACTTTCATAACTCAGAGAAAACAGCTCTGAAGTAAAAAGCTGGGGCGTTTTGAAGCAACCTCATTCATTGTAGGGATGTAACTCATGAAACAAAATGTATAAATAGTAAAAAATACTCCAAAGTCTCCTTTCAAAACTGACAGTGAGATGTGAAGTCAGAACATCTTATTCTTCTTAAAATTTGTTATAGGGAACTGGTGGAGGCATTTGAGAACTCTGGCAACCCGAAATGCAGTTGCTGATTACAGTGCCAAAATACAAAAATAATTAAAAATGAAGCAATCTGTAAGTTACAGAGGAATTTTCTGCCAAAATGAGCAGACGTAGCCTGAACTCCCAAGACAAGAATTCTGTTGACACTCCATCCAAGTTACTTAACATATTGTTTTGTCTCTATATTCCAGTCCAGAGAAAAAAACCTTTCCTAGTTCTAGTTTTACCTTCACTTCAATTTTAATGGTATTTTCTCAAATGTTCTTCCATTTACATCAGCATTAGCATGTCATACCCCATCTAATTTCTTTTTTAAACTGGAGGAGAGCAGGCTAAGGGGCAATTCAGAAGAGCTACTGGAAGAAGACAGGAACAGCAAGTGGTGGACAGGGCAAGAAAGACTTAATGTACTTATATGGCAGCAAGGAAGAGCCAAGATGGATGGGAAGGGTCTCCAGGGAGCAGCAGTGATAGCGATGCCATTGGAGGGGTGCTGGGGTACCTGCCCTGCTCTGAGGCTGCCAGCGAGGAGATGCTCTCAGGTCTGGCCACCTCATGGCCTTGCAAACCACTGATATTGTCCGTGGAGCTACCTCCCAGCCGCATCCTGCCGGCAGGATCGGACCTGCTGCTTTCTGGCAGCACAAGGTCTGTGTAACAGCTGCTTTGGTCTCCCCTAATGGCTCATAAATAACGAAGGGTTATTGTAGCAGATGCATTTCTTGACAGAGGTATAAGTGAGCCCTTCAAGAGTTGCAAGGAGCATCATGCTTTGCTTATGTTGCTGTTTTTTCCCCAAGCAGTGGTTTGATATACTCAGTACATCTGCTCGCTGGTGCCTGTGTGTTCAGCACTCTGTGCTGGCTGTAATCTGGAAAATCTCCCTGCAACCTCCCTTTTCACAGATGACTGGACTTTGAGACTTGGGGATGGAGGAGGAATAACAAAGGAATAACTGTGTATAAAGTACAAGCATAACACTATCCCTCTGAGGACGGAGGGCTGCCAAAAACCAAGGGGACATACATGCAAACCTACACTTCCAGCCCTTTCTGGACTAGACTGATATTTAAATAATTTATTTTCTGAAGATGACACTATTTGTCTCCAGATCTGTCATGGACAGAGGTTTCTATGAAACAAGCACATCAGCTTTGCCCAGAACAAATATGGCTTAAGCTCTTGCTCCCACCTAACCCCACATCATCCACGTCACTTTTTCAATGAAAGATCAAAGTCTGTGGGCTGAACCTCATGCCCATGTGTACTGCACCTTTCCTCTGCTCCTTCGGTGTGGAGCTGATCTTGTACAATCTGTGATTGCTGGAGAGAAACCTGGAAGGATGTTTTCCCCTGGCACATGTGGGAGGACATGTGGGGGCAGAGCCCTGCCCACTTTGGGCAGGGGAGCCAGGACCTCACAGCCCCACAGCCGGCAGGGCTGCCTGTCCTGGTTTCAGCTGGGACAGTTAGTTCTTTTTAGCAGCTAGAGGAGCTCCGTGTTTTGGTTTTAGTCTGGGACTCGTTATGAGAAGAAGGCTGACAGCGCACTGATGTTTATAACTGGCACTGAGACCTCGAGGACTTTTCAGCTGCCGTGTTCTTGCCAGTGTGCAGGAGCACAACAGGATAGGGGAGAGCATGGCCGGGACAGAGGGTTCACAACTCCCATTATGATTTGAACTTAGATTTAGGACTGAGGGCTAAACTGGCCAATGAAGTATTCCATATCATGCAGCGTCATGCCCAGTATATAGATGAGGGCTGACCAGAAAGAAGGGCTTTTGCTCTTTCAGGGGCTTTCACTCTCGGACTCTCGGAGTGCTATCTCACTCTCGCTCTCTCTTCGGGCCTCTTGCCTGTCTGGGATTGTGGTATCAGGACTTAACCGTTTCGAGATCGTTTGCTGGGACAGGACAGGCGTTGGTCACCAGGTGGTGAGCAATTACACTGTGCATCACTTGTTTGTATATATCATTATACATATATATTCATTTTGTTATTATTGTTAAATTGTTTTTATCACAACCCACGGGTCTCCTTCTCTTTTCCCCTTTAATTCTTTTCCCTATTCTTTAGGGGTGGGGGAGGGTGAGTGAGTGGCTGTGTGGCATATAGTTGCCAGCCGGGCTAAACCACAACACTTCCCCCATCCTTCGCTGAAAATCAAGAGTTAGAATCATAGAGTGGTTTGAGTTGGAAGGAACCTTCAAAGATCATCTAACCCCAACCCCCCTGCCATGGGCAGGGACACCTTCCACTAGATCAGGTGGCTCAAAGCCCCATCTAACCTGACTTTGAACACTTCCAATGATGGGCCATCCCCCTACCAAAGGGAAGGCTTATGTGGAAAGCACAGCGACCTGAACCCAAAAGCAAGATGGCACTTGGCAAGGCTGCAAGCGACCATCCCTCTTTAAAAGTAACACCGATGGCCCCGTGCTGAGGTCCTCCCCAGACCACCCCATCCTCACCTGCTGCATCCGCAGCGAGTCCAGCTCCCGCTCCAAGCGTGTGCGTAGCCGCCGCTCCATCTGCTCCCTCTTCTCGCAGGCTGCCTGCAGCTGTGTCAGCGCCTGCTGCCGCTTCTCCACCCTCTCCACGTAGGCCTGCTTCCTGCGCAGCTGCGGGGGACAGGGAGTCAGCAGTGCCAGGGGGCACCGTACCCCCACCCTGGACTGCCGGGACCCCCGCGCGCTTGCAGGTGTGCATTGGGCACAAGTATGGTTTTGGCCATTTGCTTCGCAGAGTTTCTCCAGGGGAAGGATGGTGCCCATTTGATGGGCAGGGAAAGGGGATAGTGGGCATCACTGGGGCAGCTCGACTCTTTTCGGAAGGAACGCTTCCCAGACCTTCCACCCACTGGAGATCCAGTACCCATGAAATCCCCTGGCCATTTCTGAGCAAGAGCTGTCACGTCGGCAGAGACTCTTTGGGCAAGCACACAGGCTGGCCTCAGCTAAGGGCAATCCTGGTGGGTTTTATTGACCGGTGACACTCAGCACATTGTACCCAACCACTCTCTTTTTTCCAGCCCTGTGTATCTGTCCAACACAGGTGGAACAAGCACTTGCCCTGCTCTATCCTGCTTATGCCGACGTATAGATGTACAGGCAGCTAAAGCCGGGTCCTCCTTGCATATACAATGTAATTACTGAAGGGCTAAACATGACACAAGGATTTTGCAATACGAGGTTAACGGCCAGAGATTGCTCGAGCTCAGCATACCCCAAAAGGAATCTACAAGTCTATTGCAGATGTTCAGGGTGCTTAGCGGCTATCCCCACTTCTGGCCTCCTACCATGCCACTAGGCACCCAGTGACACCACAGGGTATCACAGTCAGGGCTCATGGCAGGAGCTGGCACACTTGAGAGCCCTTGGGGAGAGGAGGCTGCAAAGTCTGTGCTAAAACCTGATCCCCAGCCAAAATCTGGCACCGAGAAGGGGCAAGCTCACTCACGGGGGCCAGGCACAGCTGGTTGTCTGTAAGCACACCTTGTTCCCAGGGAGCGTGGAGACTGACCCAAAAACTTGTCCACGGGGCTGTGGCAAAGGGGTCTGCCTGCTCACCCCATGGGCTGCAGTCCCAACCTCAGGAAACCCAGTTCCTCACTTCTCCTCCAACCTTTTGTCATTAATTTTGTCTTCAGGAGCATGAATAAATCTACCTTTCTAAAGATATCTGCCTGGAAGTAGAGTAAGTAACAGTGCACACAAACTGAAGCTGCAAACTTCAAAAGACCTCAATACAGCCCAAAAGAACCCAAAACACTCTCAACTTCACTCCCTGACTCAGAAAGGGAGGGTGAATTGGTTTGAATGCTGAATCACGCAGGCTTTGCCAAGCCTCAGTCAGACCCCATCTGCAGCCTGAGGGCTAGTGGGGCATGCTTGAGGTCATTGCCATAATCAATAAGATCCTCTTTGGGACTTCTAGTCTCCTTCATTTACTTGTTCACTTGTCTGAGGCCTTAAGTTTTTCAGAAGCAAAACAGGAGGCAGAAAAATGCATTAACCCCAGTCAACACTGGGCAACTAGATAAATAACAGAGGCTAGAGAGGTGCTGTGAGCTGGCAAGCCAGGGCCCAAACGATATCCTAGTGACTACCTCTTTTTTATGTACTTAAATCACTATTGAAATTAACTGAAATGTGGGTTATGATATAGGAGCTATAGCCACAAAACATCTGCATCCAAATCTCTAGGGGATGTAGTGACAAGTTTGCTGCCATGTTCCTGGGCATGTGGAGCAAATAAACATCAGCTCTGGGTCCTCCTGGCTCTGTAGGGCCCCACAGAGTCCTCTGCTTAGCCCAGGACTCCCACACTGCAAAGAAGTTGTTTTTTTTCAGTTGTGTGATGCTGGATTTACCTAGGTACCCCCCCACCGATTACAATGATAATAAAGTAACTTTTCCTTGAAATTCCTCTTTTGCCATCCTAAATGCATCCATATCACAGACAAAGTGAAACATGGGGCTGTTCACAGCAAAACTGAAGCTTGGCCTAAAAAAACCTCTCCAGCCAGAGCTGACGACTCGCAGCGTGACCTCCCTAGCCCTGCTGTAATCCAGGCTAACGCTTACGGCTCCCAGGACTTTCCATGAAAATTAATGAGATTATAATCCCCACTAGTTTCTGGCAGCAGCACGAAAACTGCATGCCTCGGGAGCTCACGTCTTGGCAAGACAGACACAGCAGTGGCTTCTTGCTGAAAGTGCTATTTTGGCAGTAGGAAGGTGCCTGTACCACCTCCCAGCTGTGCCAGCGTGGAGAGGGGAAGGGGGCTCCCCTGGGTCCCTCCTCGGTAGCTGAACTCGTTAGCTTCTCCACATCCTGCGGGATGCTAGAGGGTCCATCTATATCACAGCAGCCAGAATTTGGCTTTGCAGCAGCCACCCGAGCCCCAGGGTTCACAGGCTCGTGCATGAGGGCACCTCTGCCCGTGTGGGCGAGGCGATACGCACGCGTCTGCCGCCTGAGAAGACCATTTTGTTGGAGATATTCAACAAGACAGTTCCCACACTCGTAAATTTATAGGGAGGGTTCTTGAGCCAATTGGGACTTTTCTATCCTGCCTGTAGATTCGTAAGCAAAAATTTCACCCAGGTATTTAAAAACCAAAGTACAAAATGTTGCCATTTGAATTAATGGACTTGTCAGTGCAGTACGCACCTGTACGGGAGAGGGACTGCAATCAGAAACACCTGATACTAAGCTCCATTGCCTCAGGGACACACAGACTCAAATAAAGAAAAGCTGGATGGCACCTGGAGAGGTGCCAGTCTACCCTCCCGCTGCAAGGTAGGATCAACTCTACCTAAAACCTGGCACATGTCTGTATAATCTGTTTACAAATCCCTCCAGGAGTAGGGACTCCACAACCTCCCCCTGCGAACTACTTCACGGCCTATTTTCCTTTACTGCCAGAAAACTTTTACCCCAGTGCCTAATGTGGCTTTCTCTTATGCAATTTAAGCAAATTACTTCTTGTTCTGTTTCCAAACTGTGATCTACTAGAGCAAGAAGCATTTAATGAAACAATTCACATATTCACAAGATCAGCAAACTTGCCTGAACACTGCCCTTGTCCCAGGGATTAGGAAAATAAAGATGAAGAAGAGCTAAGGCTAAAAGGGGCTGATCCAAGCAAATAAATTTGAGTAAAGATGAGTTGGTCTTGGAAAAATATCTGCATTAGAAACACAACTCCAGTTTGAGCTACAGAATATCTGTTCTATAGATACAAGTTAAAGACTGTAAGAAATGGAGAATTCACTATCACCCTAAGTAGGTTGTTTCAATGTTAATTACTCTAATTCTACTTCCAGCCCAATTTGCTCAGCTTCAGCTCCCAAACACTGCATCTCATTATTTCTTCTTATGTTAAAGAGCAACATCTAATTTGGCTGACAGCAATCCCTTCTTCATGTTCATGTGCATGGACTGGAGCTCAGCTACCTCTTCACTTTAATTGTTCACAGCAAAGAACCGCTTCTGGGCCCCAAATAAATTCTACAGCTGTTTTCTGAACCCTCTCCAATTATTCAGTCTTCTATCCAAAGCGTGGACAAGACACACGATTCCAGCAGCAGTCTCCTAAATGACATGCGGTGATGATACCACCAACATATTTTTGAATTAAATCCTTCTACTAGCAGGCACTCAGGATAATGTAGATTTACATAGTACACTATCTTATGTTAATTCAATTTAGTAGCTACTGCTTATTTCTCAAACCTTGATTTAAAAAGCTTTTAACCTTAATTACATTCTGGTGGTAGAAGAAATCTGGGTGGATTTATAAAGCAGTGCATGAGGTAGCACTCTGTTAATAATAGTAATTTTCAGTTGATTGATTTTGTATTTCCTTCAATATATTACAAATTATAGTAAAAATCCCTGCTTTAAGATGAAGGTTCAAAACGTCAACAATATCTGCTGCATATGTGTCAAACTGAGCTCCAGAAACACTGGAGCTTGTTGAAAAGGTGCTCTGATATAGTGATGAAACAGACCAAAAGCAAGGGAAAGGGAACTTGGGCACATGCCGGCAGCCACAGATTTCATTTCACTCAAGCTGCATGACGCTGCCTTGAACAACTGAAAAAAGGCAGCTAGGATAAAATTCATTCAAACTCTCTCTCGAATGAAAAAAAGCAGTTAAACACTACCAGGTCAACAAGGGTTTGACCAGGATGAGGGCTCTGACAGACAAACTCTGGCAAATACCATTGCATCACCTTCAGATGTTGTCACCCTTGAGACCCACCATGCCCTGGGCAGGAGGTTACCACCTCCATAACATCTACCATACCATGGCAGGAGGTTAGCAGCTTTCCAGAGGGGAACATTTGCCCTCTCCTCAGCTCCACCAGTCCACAATCCAGGATCCAAGCTCCAATCCTCAGCAGAGGCACACTTCTGTTGGATGACTAGACTAGAAACTGGCAAGGGCAAAGCTCTTAGAGACAGAGCCCTGTGGTTGCAAATGTATTTACTACAACCCAGCAGGCACAGAGTAGCTTCTTACACCACCTGTCTGGAAATCTGCGTTTATGGTTCTGCTGCCTTCACTGGTGTGTATTCAGCAAGTCGATGTCACCTGCCAATACCACACTGACAGGCTGTGGAGCAGTCAGGAGCTAAATGTATTTCTTCCCATGCCCTGCATGATGCCATGACTGTAGGAGCAGGTGTTACAACCTAAAACATCCCTTTATTCAGCCACTTTGTAAGAAACACAAACAGAAAACCTCTGGTTGCCTTTAAGGCAAACAGTGTCAAGTGAATGATGTACAGATTAAAGGTACACTAGCTCCTACAGCTGCCCCAAAGGGACTGCCCCAAATACGCAGGGACAGTGAGCAGGCTTTAGTCTAACTAACAAAGGAGCAGTTAAATTTAATGTGATCCTCTTCAGGCTGCTGAGTGTATCCACCGGTGGCAATGGAGTTTTTAAAATGTTTCTAAATGGGAAGTCAGAATGGTCTAATGGTCAGGAACAGAACAGCAATGCCTTCAGCACCCACTGACAGTACCTTAAAACTTCCAGACTCTAAGTAACCATTAGTTAGCCTATCAGGGGGGCTGTCATGCTGGATACCCTGAAAAAAAACATTCCAATAGCACTGAGGTCAATTCACCCTTCATCTTTCCAAGACAAGGAACTGCATTTAAGTTATTGCAGGTATTTGAGAAAAGACCTCTCCTGCTCCTCACAGGACCCCTCACATCTGTGCTCCCAGGAGGCCCCCGTGGATTCACCCCCAGGCCAGCCCTGTGGAGGGTGCAGGTGGGAAATGAGGCAGGGAAGGGGAAGAGACCTGCCCCAGATCATGCCAGCAGCCTGTGCCAGAGCATGAACCTCTACCCAAGCCTGCTAGGTGAGCATCCTTCCCCTCACCAATAGCCTGCCCACTCAGATAGTAAAGATTATATTTTATTCCCCATAAAACATCCTCCCTTTTTGTTGGTCACAGAGCTAAAGATTTTAGGACCAAAAAGGCCTGTTTTGACAGTCTTGCCTGATCTGCCAGAATGCATGGACTTTCAGTTAGTTATGAAATCCACATCTTTTAGTTGAAGGTCTTAAGGAACAAAATAAACTGAGATTCAGAGACCTCTAATAACAGAGAACTGACCTCACTCTTAGTTATAGTTAAATCTGAGCCTTATCTCCACCAGCTAGCTGAGTTTGGTGTTGCTCCCAATTACACGTTGAAGGCTTGGCTCTGAAAACATCTATGGTTGAGGTCTCCTTTGCTCACTTGTTTGGCTCAGTATTGTATAACTCCACATTTTCTCTATAAGAGGGCCCGTGCAAAGGGAGCAGGAAGACCTGACCACACCATGGCTAGAAGAGATTCAGGACTTGGACGGAGAAAGCCCTAACTGTGAGCCACCACTAGCCTCAGAGCAGAGAAACGTTGCCCATGCCTCACCTCCTCTTCCAGTTTGATGACCTTGGCTTGTGCATTGTTTAGGGCCTGGTCGAGGATTTCAATGTGCCTCCGCTGGTCCTCATTGGCAGAGCGCACAGCTGCCAGCTCCATCTCCAATTTCTCCTTCTCCTTCAAGTGCTCTTTGTCTGGAAGAAAGACAAGAATGAGCCGCTCCAGGAGGACAGCTCACAGGCCCCGGGCCACGCGCCAGAGGTAAGCTGCCACGTCCCTAGAAAAGCAAAAATTATGTGAAGCAGCAGCAAGTGGGGCCTTTACAACACGGCGCTGAGACACAACGGGCAAGGAGTTTCCACTGCCAAGGCTCAGCCCCTCAATGCCCAGCCTCATGCCAGCACCAGCAGCAGAAACGAGTGGCAGCTAGGGCTGCCTCTGCACCAGCAGAGCTTGTGGAACCTGTGCACTGCCTCAGAATTGTCCATTCTGCTGAACTACTTCCACGTTCCCCAGCAAAATTTTGGCTTCCACCAGCTACTCCTTTCCCATGCAATGCCCAGGCCCTGCTTGAGGACAGCCTACGTCAAGGACTGTTTATAGTTGCCAGCTTGGATGCTGCTGCCCTCCTCTAAGGGGCAAGAAGCCTCAGCCACGTGGACGCAGGCCCTGCCATGCCTGGTCCATTTCATTTGAAAGGATGGAGATCATGAGATACAGAACAGGTGAAGAAGCCAAATAATAAACACAGATCTGTGGCTGGAGAGTTTGAAAATGGAAAGAGGGGAAAGCAATAAGGAGGAATAAGACGGGAAGCATCTGAACAGGTTTTCTCTGGCCAGAGAAAAGGGGGGCTGTGGGAGGCATTCCAACTGTGTGGGAGCCCTGGGTGACTTTCCAGTCCTCCTCTAAGGGTCCAGTGATCTGTGCTTCTCCCTTATTAAGCACCTTAAAGTACTAGGAGTGAGACTAAAATGTTTAGATAACGTCCATGCTGAAAAATCATCCCTTTTTTGGACAAGATTTAAAACGTTTAAAAAAAAAAAAAAAAGCAAGCCTGGCTAAATTCAGTCAGCTTTGCTTGCATCTTTTTATTCTGCAACAAATTGCAGGCCCACCATTGACTTTGCTGGCGAGTTGCCTGGGGGAAGGCTCAGCTCCGTCTGTCTCTGCCCTGACAGCACTGAGAAGCCATTTCGGGGAACATGAGCATCACAGGCCAACTACCGGATCCCCGACATCGAACCACAAACGGTTAACGATGGGAGGGAGCAGGGGATGGAGGTTTCATTCAGTGAAATCTGAAATTTCAAAATCTGGCCTTTGTTCTGAATGACAACAAAAATGGAGCAGTTGGCAAGCCCCCAGGAAGGGAAATTTCCTCCAAAAATTATTTTGGCGTCACTTATACATTGTTTTGCTTTTTAACTTTTTAAACACAGCATTACCAAATTTATTATTTTTTAACTGAAGTGAAAAGTTGCTCCAAAAGCATCGAAACATGGAAAATCTGCCCCTAATATCCAGCCCATCCCTCCCACCCAAGCACGACCACTCAAGCTGGAAGCCCCATCATCTACCTCCTCTCGAGAAGGGTCGGGAAACTTCACGTGGCCAAAGCCAGCCCATTTCAGACCTGAACTACCCCCAGAAGGGCCTTATTCTTCCTTAATTACAGGCAGGATGGGAACAGGTTTAATTTACACACTACTGATAGGTGCCTGCAACAAGGTGAGACATGTATGAGCTGAGCCGTATGGAACAAGGCACGCGTGGCCAAGGTGAGCCCAAACCCACTCGGTCGTCTTCCCATTTATCCTAAACGGAGGAATTCAGGACCTCACAAATGCATTCCCTGGCAGCAACACCATCATGTTGGCCTCTGCAAAGCCTGCGAGCAAAGGCCAGTAAGTGTTGTGCACACCGTGCCACCAACCGCGAGCCATCTCAGTATGACGCAGCCTTAATCTTCCCACGGAAGGGAAGGAATTTTATATTGGACATGAGGGTCTCTTCCTTTAATGCAAAGACATCTACTTCAATCAGATTCACCAGAAGGAACACTAGTATCTATTGCACAAAAGTCTAAATCTGGGCAAATTATCAAGCATCTAATTTCTTTAGAGTATGAAGAAGCTGGAAGACGAATGTTCTTTCAGCCCTGTGGCACTCCACCATCTCCTGCTGGGACCGCACTTGCTGTGCTCCAGGTTTGAAATCCGTATTATAGGAGGACAGCACATGGAAAAGCAGGGACCTTCACTTTTGACTTTCATCTGAGGAACTCGAAGCACTCAGCTTGCTCTGTGTTTTCTATCCTTCCCCAAAGGAGGACAAGATTAAACTGTACACAAAATGACCACTGAACTCAGCAGACAGCTGACAAGAAAAATTTACTTAACAGCTCTCAACACTTCTCCACATCAGCTTCTCTCTGAAGAATGCTGGAGGCACATTTTATAAGTACTTTCCTATATTGTATTACTTTTTAGTAAAGAAGGTCTTTGTTGAACATACCTTAAATTCTCTTCAAGTACATACAGGTATCCTTAAAGTCTAAAAATACTGTTTTACTGTGTTACGCACCTTCTGCCCGGGCATGTGCTTTTTACCTAACAGACTCCAGCTAACAACCATTTCAATTTTCTGGTGGGTCACTGAACAGTCCCAAAAAGGCTCCTCTGCTGTAGTTTACAGTGGCAGTCTCACAGCTTTCCACTCGCTGCCTCTGACCGTTGCACCTCAACACACCGAAGACATTACACCCATACTCTGCAGCCAGGTAGAAGAAAGAGGAGATAAAGCCACAAGCCTGCTTCGGTGCTTCGCAAACGGGCTTTTTTGAGTTGCCAGGCTGGGTAGGTACACTAAGGGTACACCAGTCTTGACCCTGCTTCGAAGCAGAAACTTTAGACAGAAAGATACACTCAATCTCTGTCACCCTTTCACTATACTCCAATGTGACCTCCAGCTTTTCACACAGACTTCATGCTTAACAGAAGGTTTTGATCTGATCAGTCTTGGAAGAAAAACAAGAAGTATGTTTTTAATGTACCATTTACCTGTATCAGTTGAGTGTGTGCCCTCAAAGCCCCTCATAACTGAACACTTGGATAGCGTAAATCCACCCTGCACGCTTCATGAGGAGCAGCTGCGTTAACCCTGTGTCCCGGCCAAACACCAGCATAGCTCATTGCAATCTTCTCCTCCTGCAGTTTTGCTCACAAATGGCACATTCCTGACAGCTCTCTTGAGTTTGGATCATGTCAGCACTAAGAAAAGGCTGACAAGCTGCAGGAGGTCATGCTCGAGGTCCCTGAGTCCATTTCCTCATGTGGTGATTAACAGGGACTCTGCACTGGCATTAGTAATTATGATCAATCGTAACATACTTAATAAATGGTTCAGTACATGGTCACTTTGTGGTCACCAACCTAAGCAGGGATGCAGGAAGGTTTGATGTTCTGTTATCAGAGGAAGTCACCAAATCTCCATCGAAACTCGTGATGGCTTTCCTTACCCTACAAAGCATCGCAGGCAGCTTAAGCCTGGTCTGATTTACAGTTAGGACATTTCCGTTTGCATTTCACAAAGTACAAGTCAGGAGAATTTGACCTTCACAGGTTGAAAACTGAAATCAGATTTCCCAGTCCCCTTCTCTTCGGAGGGCAGGGGGAAGCCACACAGAACAGATGCATTTTTCTAAACGACACCGTTTCTTCATGATGCTGCTCCCTGCACAGGTGCCCTTGGCTCTGGGTGCAGGGGGGCGGCAGCTCCCCACCTCCCTGCATGCAGCTCACAGCTGTGAAAGGAGAGGGCAAGGAGCTCCCTTTCACTCGTCCCTGAAACTTCTGTCTCCGCTCTGATTATTTCCTATCTTAATACCAAATGGCTCTTAGTCTGCCCAAAACCCCACTCTCAAAAACATCTACTGTGAGCGTTTTCTTTGGTTGGATTCATTCAATGGGAATATTTATTTGCCTGGGATATTTGGGACAGAAATACATGTGCAAGTCATACATGGCACATCCACTGCACGTTCCCACAAAGCATGAGGCTCTACCAATGCACTGACAAAACTGTCTATGCATCCCCACTAATGGGTGCAGAGCCACGTGGATGGGCACAGACCTCTATCTGCCTCAGACACCTGAAAAAAATAGCCCTTTGGAGGAATCTCTGCTCTAACAGAATGTTCAGTTCAGTTCAGAAATCCCAGAAAAACACACACTATTCTCAGACTCCACCAAAACAAATTTTTCCTATGATACGCTGCACCATAAGGTTTCTCTCTGCCCTGTGCCCTTGAAACCATCCTCGGTCTTCCTGCCTCTCCCTTTCCACAGCATCTCTCAGCATCCTCCTGTGTGGCTCTTCTCTCGCCTGTATGGGCCCATACACCTCCACTGGTCACTGCTTCATGCCTTTCCTTAAAAGAACCCTTTTCACTGAAAAAAAATCACATCATTATCATGAAACTAATAGGCTGTGAGTTCTCTCCTGCCCCTGATACAACAGTAGCATTTTTCTTAGGCACAAATGCCTAGCATTTAATGCTTTGAGGCATGTAGCCTGGCCTTGCCTATTATTATTATTATTAAGAATGAGAGTTTTTGTCACTCCTGGTCTCCATCTCAGAGCATACGACTGCTCTGCGTTGTTGCACTGCTAATGGAGAGCTCTGCGAGGAACTGAGAATGCTCCCTGCACATCCTGCCTTGCCAGACTTCGTTTTTCAGGAAGTTTTTTCTATTATTGGAGTTTTACTACAGTATTAATTCTACGTTGGCAGTAGTACCAACGGTTAGCGTTAAAAAAAACTCACGAGTTTTATCTTTCCTTGTTCATCTCATCATGAGACAGGCTTAAAAATGGTAACTTTCAGGAACCTGCTGATGTTGGAGTCTTTCTATATAACTTGAGTTAGAGATGTTAGGTGTCATGTTTTCAGGCTGTTTTTCATAAATGTGGGGACTAGAAATCTGCTTTTGCTTTCCCAATGGAAAGTAGGATTTCCACGTACTAATCTGACTTAATAAGCTACTATCCTTAGGAAAAAAAAACAAACACGAGTTTCACAACAAAACTGCAGCAGCCGATGGGAGCGCATGTAGGCATCGTTTTTTCTCTTCTTCTAAAAATGACTGTTTCAGTCTCAGTTCACAAGTGTACACACAGCAGTTAAAACAAGCTGCACCCCTTCTCCTCCCAGTTTTCCTCCTGAGCATCCCACCAAAAGATGTGAGGAGGGCACAGACTGTTCTGGCAAAACCCCCAGGCTGGCAGTGGGGTGCAACCCCAGTCATGCTCTGCCCCCAGGGAAGACTCACAAGCATCAGGGTATATATACAGTCACCGAGAGAGAATTTCCAAGCAAAACCCTTTCTGGGCTCTCAGAGGGGTGTTTTACGCTGATACCCTGATATCGAGGTCATTACTGCATGCGTGCCAGCAGCCCAAAGAACATGACTGAAGAGGTCCTGCTTTACACGTGCCCATTTTTCTATTCTTGGAAGCACTCTGCATCGCGTTGGTAACATTTAGCTCTCTGGCCTAGCCAGAAGACACTCCAAGCATCCAGCCTGTCTTATGTGATAGGATCCAAAAAGCTATATTTGTTCATAAGCTGTGAATTGATAGCAGTAATATGCTGAGTGCTCAGCGCAAAGTTTTATTGCTAGATATGTATCAGTAGAAGCACAGAGCATGTTTATGTGCTGGAAAATGACTCAAATTGAGTCCATCCTGGGGATTTAACTCCCCCTTGTAGCTACCAGTATATGGGAACACTGCCAGGCTGCCTCTATAAGGAGACAGCAGACCCCAGGCTGCAATCTGCGCTGTGCGACTTACCCCATTTGAACTCTTCCCAAGGATGACAAGATTTACATAGCAATGCTATTTTCTTAACAGATCATCCCCTTGGATTCGCAGCAGCATCTCTACGCCCTTGTGGCATCTGCTAATATGGCAAAGCTAAGAGAGTCATGGAAAAGCTCACTAGATTCTCTTCTGGTTCGTGCACACATGCACCGAATTGTCAGCGAAGTTGCCGTGCTGGCATCATCCCTGCTGATGGGAGCTAGGAGAAGGCTCTCCTGCATTTGGAACAGCTGGAGGACTTTGCAGGGCTGATGGTGAGGCACATGGAGTGGTATCGAACACCACACTGCTTATGGAGGTGGCCGGTTTTCCACCTAAGGATTTGCAGTTGCAGCTCATCTTCCAAGGAAGCTCTTGGTGCAATAAATAAAACAGAAGGATCGGTTGTACACAGCATTTAGCTTCAATGGGATTTAAGCCTGCAAGGTACCGCACAGCTCCAGGAGGTGAAGCCCTTCTGGAAGCGTGCTGAAGACGCCCAGCAGACGTCAGGAGAAGCCACGCGCTGTCATGTGGCATCCATCTGCTCCGCTTTTGGTTTGGCTGGTCACACAGAGCCGTCAGCATGTGGCAGGGAAACGCTGCAGCACTGTGCTCAGTCGTTACAGGAGCCCAAAACTTGACAGGAACGGATGTTTTTCATAGCAGCAGAAGTTGTAAAATCTTTGTCTCTTCCATCCTTTGAGAAAAGGAGGGTCCAGCTCTGCTCTGCCTCCTGTTAGTCAACCGCTGCCACTGACAAGAAGTCAGCAGAGGTTGCTCTGGGCTTATCCCAGCCAAGAGAAGAATGTGGCTTCTCTAAAAAGCATGTATCTCCAGAGATGATCCCCGCAAGCAACACTTCACAATTTCAGATAAATATTTATCAAAAATAAGCCAAGTTGTGTTACGATTAACTCCCACTGCCTGGTTCTGGTGCTCAGAGAGAAAAAAAAGCAGCCTAAACAATCCAGTTTGCAGCTTAAATAAGAGTATGTGACAAATAAGCTGAGTAAAACCAAGCCACAAGAACAATAACCACTAACAGCAAAGCATTCACCTCCGCTCCAGCATGTATATATGTGTGCATATATATATATATGGACCTTCAAAGCCGACCAGCACAGTACTCACTCTGAGTGGCATAAAGGCCCTCTGTTGACTTCTCCTCCTGCCCATCGAGGTCTCTGCTGGCAAGCTGCCTATTGGCTGTCTCCAGCCGTTCTGCAAAAAAACAGGAAATACTTTCAGTATAAATACATGTATATAAAATTGTAGGCCAACCAAGAAAATAAGATGCATGCCAGCGAAGCAGTATAAATAGACTCCCTGAAGGAGGACATCAAAATGGAGGCGGACACATACATAAAAGATGAGGCCTTTGACCTCTTCCATGAAGCTGTCTCGTTCCAATTTACAGAAACTGGGGAAAAAGCCTCTGCCATCCGTGGCTGACGTGTCTGAGCAGTTCATCTCTCATGATGTCCCAAACACGCAAGGCATTTGCAATCTGAATTACGGAGCTTTGCAAGGGGAAGGGTGCCTTCCTGCAGTGGAGCACGGCCCCTGGTGCAGCGAGACGTCCTGGGGGAAGGCAGTCCCCAGCCCGCTGACACCGATCCTTGGCGATGTCCTGGGAAAGGAACAGTTTTCTGCAGCAGGGGACAGATTGCCCTGGGAAGGGCCTGCCTTCAGGCACCCCTCTCCTCCAAAAAGACCACCCAGCCCCCTCGCACTGTTGCAAAAAGCACTTGTCAGCTTGCAGAAGGCATCTCACTGCCCGAAGACATATCAAAGTACTCCCCTCAGGCACCTGGACAGGTAATAGCTCAAAGTCAAAGTCATAGTCCAAGGCACAGTCTGAAGTCTAATATCTTTCCAGTACCTAAAGGGGGCCTACAGGAAAGCTGGTTAGGGACTTTTGACAAGGGCGTGTAGCGATAGGACAAGGGGCAATGGATTTAAACTGAAGGAGGGGAGATTTAGATTAGATATAAGGAAGAAATTTTTTTCACTGAGGGTGATGAGGCAGTGGAACAGGTTGCCCAGAGAAGTTGTGGATGCCCCATCCCTGGAAGTGTTCAAGGCCAGGTTGGATGAGGCTTTGGGCAACCTGGTGCAGTGGAGGGTTTCCCTGCCCATGGCAGGGGGGTTGGAACTAGATGATCTTTGAGGTTCCTTCCAACCCTAACCATGCTATGATTCTATGATTCTACGATATTTTCCCGAGGGTTTCTTCGCAACTGCAGGGGTGACAGCAGTTTTGTCTTACGCCAATGAGCAGGGCCTGATTTCTCAAGAAATTTATCTAAAACATGGGTGAATCCACTCCTTTAAAGTCTGCTGCTCTGCAGCTTGAGAGAAGTGGAATACCACATCAACTGAGGGGAAAAAAACCCACACAAGCAAATGTAACGTACCACGGAGATCCCTGTTGAAGTCATGAAGTCTCCTAATTTCTCCTTCGAGTTTGTTTCTCATCGCTTTGTCCAGAGACTCCCTCTTAGTGGTGGTCTTGACCAGGCCCTCATAAGCTTCTGAAATCCTCTGAATCTCTATTTCAAACTGAAAGGAAAGAGAACTCCCTTTAAAGCCCAGCAGGAACACATCCCATTCCAGTATTTGCCCAGCATGTTTCAATGGGGTGCAGGGATCGGGGCAATGCCCGTGCTGAGTGTCTCACCAGCCACCAGCTCTGCAACGACCAGTCTCCCCGGTGGAGGATGGCACAAAGCTCCAGTGGTGCTGGAGGCTCCTGCAGTGGTGAGCGATTGCTGGACCCCTGGAAATGCTCCATGGGGCAGCTCGCCATGCCACAAAACCCCGCTGGCAGCTCCCAAATGAGCTCAGGATGGGCTGGGCTTGATGTAACTGCTTGGTTGCCTTCACTCTATGACCAAGGTGGCTGCTTTAACACTGTCAAAGGGAAGCATGGAAGGAAACAGCATATTTAAGTGGACTGTATTCTTTCCTATAAACGGTTTTAGGAGGCAAGATTTATTATTCCCTGACCCAAAACTTAGCTCTAAGCTCTGCGCGCCACCAGAAATGCTTCAGGCTTGGCTCTGACCTCATGTCAGTCTTAAACTATTGCAGTCCACTCCTTTGCATCCTTGACCAAAGACTGCTCTATACAAAAAGAAACAGTAACAGACTACATCAATTGTTCTGGGTTTTCAATCTTCTTAACTTCATCTCCTTTAAACTTGGCAAACTGCAAAGAATGCACAGAAAGCCCTTAGCAGTGAACTCGCATCTTAAGACCTGAACCCAAAAAACTGACAGGAAGATAGTTCCAGGCAGAGTATTGCTGTTCAGGTCAATGCCATCCAGCTCTTTTAATAAGCTAACGTCTTGTTAAGTGCTTTGCTGAAATCATTGCTGAAGGAATGATCAACACTGATGTGGGAATCTGCTCCTGCATGCCTAGCCCTTCTGTTTGTGGAGAAAAGCTTGATAATGTGCACAGGCTGGAAAATCAAGAGATATATATAGCCTCCCACATACCTTTCTAAATCTGGAGTTTTTTTATCCTCTTGAATTGTGGGTGGGACGGATTAGTGATTTGTGAAGCCACGGTGTGAGCCTACCTCCACTCATTGTGGAGGTAGGTCCCTCTCCAGGGCTCGTTAAGCTTTAGGTGTAATTTGTCAGCTGCAGAACTTGCAGAATAAAAGCTCCAGGGACGCTGGAGCTGTCATCCTGCTGCCTACATAGGAACCTGCAGCCAGGCTCCACCAGCCTGGACCTGTGCATCCCACAACGCCAGGGCCACTCTGCCTGAATATGGCCCGTGGGAATGCGGCACCTCCAAACTACGCACCAAGGAAAGCCTGGCAGAGCCACGATGGGGAAATCCACTTACTTTCCCCAGTTTCTGCGTTCAGCTCACTCAGGCACAAAAACTGAAGCAAGTGGTGATGTGCAAAGCCCACGGTGTGGCCCCCGTGACACCAGCAGCTTGGATTAGTACCTTGCTGGGTATTACATCACCTATCTCATGCCGGTGGTGATTTAACAGCTCACAGATATTTCACACACATACAAGCTGCTCCCCCTACGTGCACGACGTTAAAAGGTACCATATGTAGATTCGTTCTCAGCTGACAATTCTCCACAGCTCCAAGAAGAGGATGACCTGTTGAACTGGCTGTGACACTCCTTCTAGGGTGAACTACAAACTTACTCAGGTTATTCTGACTTTTCTTTTTGTTTTGTTTTGTTTGTTTTTTTTTTTTTTTAAAAAGCAGGAGCTCCAGGAAGCTCCGTTACATTTTCCCTAACCACATCCAGAAAAGCAGGTCCTTCTTCTTCACCCTGCTGATGCACAGCCAGACACCAAGCATGTTCCCACCACGAGGACGGCATGCTTGGAGGAACACTGCATAAATGCAAACCTGTTTGAAGTTTAGACTGAACTTTGCTGTGGTTCAAAAAAATAAGGTTTTTTTTTCCCCATATGCATGGCAAGACAAGCTTGTAGGAAACCTCATCAAAAAATCTGAACTTCTTCGAGAAAATCTGGTTCATATGAATTTTCCAGAATCAAAACGACATGCCGATTAGTTACTCCAATAACAGCTTAGTTTCAGCTACTTGATTCTGTTACAGCTTTTTCTTTAGATCAGTGTGGCTTCCACTAGCAAAATTTTTCTCTTCCTGTAAGTAGTCAGAGGCTATACTCAAGCTACCTCGAGCTGTTCTCTTTGACCATTTAAGCAGATGGAGCTTCTCTCTCCTTGAAAGGAAGGTTTGACTTAGCAAAAATAATTGTTAAAGCACTTTCCTGAATTCTGAACTACATGATCCCAACCAGACACCATGCTCAGTTAGGTGCCCTGATGCCCGCTAGTTCCCATGCCGCCCCTCTCCCAGGTGAACTGCTATCTGCAGGAGAAGATGCCTGCTCCAGAGAGCTTCTACCACAGCAAAGCAGATTTGCCAACACGGCAGGGGGTTCCCACAGCCCAACAGTCCTGCCCAGCGCTGCTGGTTACCGCAAAGGCTCTGCTCTGCTCATTATCCGCCGTTATTCCCCAAAACACACCACCACGCAAGTTTCCTGCAGCCCCAGAGGCAAAGACTTGCTGCAGGAAAAGAAAAAACATCCATCGGCACCAGACAAAATTAAAGGAGAGCAGAAGAACAGCCATAAATTGTGTCGGCGTTTCTCAGCAGCTCTGGGATTTCCTTCCCCTTCTCCTATGGAGGAGAAAAAATAGTTCAGTCTCTTCTCTGCCTGGTAGCTCCTAGAGCCAACCCACTCAAACAACCCACACACATGGCATGGGGAAGAGCCAGCCCAGCCTGGCAATTAAGCTTCAGCAAGGTAACATCACCCAACAGAACATAAGAGCAAAAGAAAGAAGAAAGTAATGCTTTGCTTTTTCAGAAAAAGCTCAAAATAAAATCGCACAACCCCTCTTCCCCTCCAACTCTTTTTAGGTAAGAAAACCAGACAACTCATCAAATAGCACAGGGATTAATCAACACCTTGCACGTCTCTGCAAAAACTCTGTTCAGACAAAACTGAGAATTTGACAACCCCCAGGGCTGATCTGTTCGTACAAACGCTCAGGGAGCCCTCCAAGTCAAGCTGATTTTCTCTAATTTCTTCTCCTATTCTTTAACGAATAAAAGCAATGTGAGTTTGGCCCTACCTAGAATAAATGTGTTACGCACTGACAAACAAGAAGTACTCCTCGTGACCCTTCCACTCCCAACAAGAGGGAAGAGTTTCCACACCCAAACTATGTATTTTAACTCACTGCCATGTTTTCAGAGGTGATGTTCAACTGAAACTGTGGGAACAGAGAAGGACCTGCCCTGTCCTTGTGTTTGATCACAGAAAAAACAGCATGGGAGGCTTTGGTTCAGGGCATTTTCCTGAAGAAGGAATGCACTTGAGCAAGTGTTTCAATTTAATATTCTGCTTATGCTCCCCCAAAGTCAATGGGACTCGAGCCTACGCTCTGTTGACTGAAGTGAGACTTCAACCCGTGCTTGAATACCTTTCTGTTGGTGTCTGATGCAATCTACTCACAGGGCATCCAAGATAAAGACAGAGCGTTTCCAAGAGTGTAAAAGGAAATTGGAGTATTTTTAGGGCATCACACTCAAATACCTTTTACTGAACAATGCAGCTTTTGTAAAATTAATAGCCAGAATATTTCTTTTTGCTCATGAAGGCCACAGGGAAATCAGCGTTAAAATCTTTGCAGATGTCTTCGCAAATAGTTAACGCTGCTGCAAAAAATTCTCGACTAAGTTTAGGAAATTCTGTGAATAAATTGAACTCATCTGGTTGCAGAGGAGGAGGCTGAAAAGACGACAGCAACTACAAAACAACAGGTCTTTTTTCTAACCTGTTTGAACAGATTTGTCACAGATTTTTCCCAAAGCTGAGGCTGGGACATGGTCTCTCAGAGCTGCCTCTTCTCCAGTGAGGAGCGTTTCCAGGAACACCCTGATCCCACACAGCACAGAAAAAACTGAGCTTCTATTTAGACTCCTAAATTCAGACAGAAAAGACCTGCAGCCTAAGCCCATTTGTGTATAAGTGATGGGAAGACATAAATGAAATAGCATGGTAGGATTCTAAATAAATCCTAAAATTTGGATCCCTCAGGCCTAAAGCCAGCATATCTGCGGAGCATCTCTGCATTGTCTTAGTGAGCTCTCATTTTAAAGTGACTTCTACTTCATTTGATTTGACTCTTCATCTTGTCGCTCCAGGCAGTGCACAAGACATTGCCCTTCTCCACGGAAAATGCCAGCTTTCATATAGAAAAGAGGGTGCAGGATCTCTTTGCATAAGGGTTTTAGAGCGAAATCTTTACCAAATGGTTCTTTCAGATAAGGGGTCAGTGCTTTTTGAACCAACATGTTCAAAGGTGCGTGTCTAACATTAGCCTTCAGAAATGCACAGAGCAGTCACTGAAAGTCTCTGAGACAACCAAGTCAATGCATTTCCAAATAACCGGCAACCCCATCGACGGCTGTTACACTTCCAAAGAGCGTGGAGCACCACGCGAGTGTATTGTGGTGGATAAGACTGCTCAGGACAGACGTGGCCATGCTCTTCAAATGCTCCTCACCAGCAGCTCTACCTCCTGTGCAGATTGTGCAGGACTCAGCTGCATCAGGAGCAGACTCTGCCCATAGGAGGCTTCCAGGGAAAGCTCCGGTGAGGCCAGCACAGAAGCATGGAAGGGGAAAGTCCCCAGGGAGACACGTGATGGGCTACTCCATTTCACCCTAAGGACAGGGGAGCCCACAGGCCATGGGGCACAGGACTACACTTCTGGGAGATCACCACGGAGAGATAATGGTTAGAGGTGGCCACTGGTGTATTCCCATTGCAGTGGCATGACTACGAAGAATAGCTTGGGAGACCCAAACGTAGGAGCACGAAGACAGCTGCCCTGCACAGGGCCCATCCCCACCTCTCCACGTACCTTCTGCAGCTTGTCTGCCTTCTCGTAGTACCCCTCCAGCTCCTGCCGCAGCACGTGGTTCTCCTCAGAGAGCATCTCCACCATCTGCTGCGCCCGCTCCACGATGGCGAAGGCATCAGGCGTCAGCTGCTGGCCCAGCGGCGTTGGCGGCTGGGCAGCGGCGGGGGCCGGCAGCGGAGGCA